TATCAGAGGACTCTGTGCTGCCTAACAGCTTTCACTGAAAAGCTCTTCTTCTTGGACTATTCTCCACTGGGACAGTGGAGCTTCTGGCGGCTCCAAAATGTCTGACTTTTCTCGGCTACAATCCCAAAATTATCTAAACCGCAAGAAATGCTAAAACATTTGAAAACTTGCAAAGATGTGAGCCTATTATTATTATTTTATGACCCACTTAAGAAAATATTTTGTGGTAAAGGCAGCATGTCTGTATTAACAAAATAAAATTTAACTATTGTTAAGAACATACCTGAAAAGGGCACGTTTATGAAGGTAGATGAAGATATTTTTAATTGAAAATATATTTTTTGATTGAAGCAACCTTTTTTTTGATTGAATAATAAAGAATCAAATCTACCTTCATACCAGAGCAGTGATTTATAAGCTTTGAGCAACCTCGGTCAAAATCTTCAAGTTAGAATGAGTAAAATATATATTTTTAAAATAAAAAAAATATTTTTGTTATTTTCATATTCTTGCCTAAAGATAAACCAGATTTTTTAAAATTCATTTAACAAAGTAGTGCCCTGTATAAAAAAAACAAAAAAAACATCTTTTCTGAGCTCAGAAATATATATATTTTTTGTGTTAACATGAAAAACTTAATGTTTAATATAAAGGAAATAAACTAAGTCCGTTGAGCAAACCAAAGTAGTTAAAATCTTTAAATTTACTAAGTGAGCTGCTAGTACTTATACCTTATAAAAAATCTACTTTACAAGTCAGTACCAACATAAAAACTTTCAGTTCATAGGTAATAGGTAATATTAAGTAGCATACATATAGATAATATATTACATTTATGTCCGTAAATCCGTAAATTTCACAATGTAGCTTTATCTCTGTCAGGTTTCTCAATCATTGTAAAAATAATTAACTAGAACATGGTTGTCTTAAAAAAAAAAAAAAAAAGAGGTAATAATGTTCGGAGTAGAGATCCAGGGTTAGCTCAACGATTCAGTTACTACAGCTAGAAACCACTGATTATGGCTGAAATTTGGTGTCATGATGGACTCAGACCTGAAGCGTCAAAGGCATATACAGAAAGTTACTAAGTCAGCCTTTTATCACCTGAAGAACATTTCCAGAATTAAAGGACTAATGTCCAAGCAGGAGCTAAAAACACCCATTTATGCATTTATCTTTAGTTGAATCGATTAAAGCAACAGTTTCTTCATAGTTTTACCTAAAAAGTCCATCAGGCAGCTGCAGCTGATCGAAAACTCTGCTGCCTGTGTTCTCACTAGAGCAAAGAAAGTAGAGCACATCAGCCTGGTTCTGAAGTATTCCACTGGCTCCCTGCATCTCAGAGAATAGACTTTAAAATCTTTCTGTTAGTCTATAAATCACTGAATGGATCAGCACCTCAATACATAACAGATTTGTGGTCAGTGGATCAACCTACCAAACCACTCAGGTCTTCTAGGTCCAGTCTACTCTTTCCACACAGAACTAGAACCAAACATGGAGAAGTCAAAGTTAAAACCCATTTTTTTGGGGTGCCTTTGACTGCAAACTGAGGTATCATTAGTTAAAGATTGGGGTCCAACTGTTTCATTAGTATTACTACCTGTTTTAATCATGTTTTTATTTTTATTTGCTTTTATTCTGCTTAAATTTTTCTTCTATTTTCATGTAATTCACTTTGACCTGTTCTTGTTGTGGGGAATGGTGGCCTAGTGATTATAGCATAGAGCTTGGAATCCTAAGGTTGTGAGTTTGAATCCTACTTCCACAGGCTACCACTCTAGGTCCCCTGAGCAAAAAAAGACCCTTAACCCCACACTGCTCCCCGGGCGCCGAAAATGGCAGCCCAATGCTCCCCAAGGGGATGGGTTAAATGCAGAGAGTAAATTTACCTATGCTGTACTGTACTTGTGACAGAGTAATGTCAATAAAAAAACAAACAAAATGCTGGTACTGAATTGTGTTATACAAATAAACTTGGCTTGCCTTTTGCGTTCCGCTGACAAACAAGAGCCTGCTTGCTATGTAGTCTCACAGGCATTATTACTTAATAAACAAAACACGTTTTTTATTTGTTTAACATTAGCCATTTTAGAATGATTCACCCTGCTGGAGTTTATAGCTTCCCACCCAGGCGGAGGGCACGCTTGTTCTGTATGTAACATACTTTCTGTCATTCTGCCTCACAGACTAACATAAACGTCCAGGAGGATCTGCTGCCACATTAATCAAACCCATTAGGCAGCTAACGGGAGAATACTTACAGAGAACATTAGGGCTGTCGCTGGATCTAGCCCAGGAAATTAACAACTCACCAGACAGATACAATCCACAGTAGATATGAGCGATAGGAGTGGAAAGCATGGGAGGTGGGGTGAGTCCATCTGTGGTGTGTTCACACAGCTAACTTGACAGAAGCAATTAAGCTGCCTAGACTATTCTGCATATTGTAAGCTACACCTCATTTCAGTGCAAGGAGAAGGTATGCACCTGTAACATCCCCACAACCGTCTCCCTTGGCAGCCGGTTATGAACGCTTGCTCACAATCCAACCTTGAGTTCATGACCAAAATGAATATGGAAGATTTTTCAAAGGAACTAATGAATAGACAACACTGCAGTGTTGTTTTTACTGTTGATGCGGATGTTTCAACACTGCTCTAAAGAAGAGGTGAATTCTAAAACATCAACTTTATGCCTGAACTTGGTGCACATAAGACCTTAAACTGAATGCAAATAAAAAATGGTAAACCTGAAGAGCTGATCTGTAGTTGGGCATGTGCTTTTTGTGCTTAAAATTTCAACAAGTGTTCAGTGTAGAATACATATGGCTTTTATCACACATAATGCAACTGCAACATGTGAAGTAACTACAGTATATACTGGGAACAATAACAATACACAACACTGCCACGCTAGTCACCCAGAAGTACCTCTAACCTTAGTCATTAAAATCTACATCCAGAGAAGCAAAATAATACAGAAAAAAAACATTATTTCCAGCTCTATGCTTACCTTGCAAGAAAGATGCAAAGTAATTTGCAACAAAGGTGTCACGAGATTTTTTAATTTACAAACTGCCAAAAATACATCTTGCTAGAAGTCAACAGATACATTAGCCTCAAAACGGAAATGTTTCAGACCAATGAAATACAGTGACATGTATTAACACTTCCAGCAGAGGTGGAAAGCTAGAAGCAAAACAAACATGGCTGCAGCGGTTTTTGCTGGAATACCCTTTATTTATAATTATATATAAATATATATATATATATATATATATATATTATGAGGCTGAGTTTGCATCATGTCTACTAATATTCATTTACTGTATGTCAGAATGCACATTGAAGTTTCTCTGTGTAATGTTTTCAGTCAATGCTGAGCGACTCATTTGATCCAAATACGATAAATGAATTCATGCAAGAAGGTTCTGGGTTCAATTCCAGGACCGGGTTCTTTCTGCACTGAGTTTGCATGTTCTCCCTGAGCATGTAGAGGTTCTCTCCTGGTACTCCGGCTTCCTCCCACAGTCCAAAAACATGACTGTTAGGTTAATTGGCTTCTATAAATCCTCCTTAGGTGTGTGTGTGTGAATGGTTGTTTGTCCTGTTTGTCTCTGTGTTGTCCTGTGATGGACTGGCGACCTGTCCAGGGTGTACCCTGCCTCTCGCCCATAGACAGGTGGATATAGGCACCAGCTTCCTCGTGTCGCCAGCTGGGATAAAGCGTGATGGAAAATAGATGGACGGATGGATAATTCATGTTTAAATAGCTAGAGGCAATTACTTAAAAATATAAACAAAATGAAAACCTAAGCACAAGACTTTTCTCATCTTTGTTTTACTCTGAAGTGAATCCTCCCTGCGGTATTAAATTAACTATGTGATAAGACTCTTTGGATTAGCAGAAAGAGGAATTTTAAGGCATCATACTTTGATCTGTTTCATTATTTCACATTTACAAGATGTTAAGTTAATTTGCTTTTCACAATCTTGCTGTACTAAAGGGATTTTTCTAGGCATTTTTTTCTGAAACGGACAGATGCAAGAACAGTTTATCTTTTTTTTTTTTGCTTTTTGATTGATTTGTTGACATTCTGCAGAAGAGTGCTTTCTGTTTCTGAAAATAAAGTTTAGTTGTCTACCTCAGCAGGGGACTTTTCATTCTGTTGTGCTTCATGTTGTATTTAAGTAAGACCTATAAAAACAAAACAAAAGGGGGCTGACACTAAAATAGAAAAAAGAAACATGCAGCGTGCAGGTCAGGGATAAACCTGCACAAAGACTTTGACTATTTGAGAGAACTCTGTTCAATACATTACTTAGAACAGAAATACTAGGAGACAGGTGCAACAAAGAAAGGAGACAAAAGAGAAGGAAATTATACTTTTTTTTTTTAATCAGATTTTCTTAATTATTACTTTAAGACACAACAATTTTTAGACACAACAAAGTTCTTGCAGCTTATCTTCCGGCAAAAGCCTCAGGAAGACTAAATGCGAATGTTCAGCCCCTGTTTTGGACTTTTGTTTGTAAAAAGACATAAAAATCATGAAATGCACTAACCTATGTAATCCAAGTAACAATAGACAGTAAGCTTTTTATTTATAGGGACAAGTTGTGAAAAAGTAATACAACTTAATTATTTATAAGGCAATGCATTTAGATGATCAATGCAACACCAGCAATGACAGATAACTGACAATGCTGGCCAAAATTGAAGTTGTGAACATACAACAACCTTTATGTTTTTTCTCTCCACTGTCACTACAAGCATGCTTAGTGTGAGGGATTGCCTTCAAGTCAATAAGTCAATACAATCAGTTGGTTTTTGTTTGATAAAATCTGGTTGGATTGTCTCTGTAAAGAGCCTGGAGATGATATGAATGAATTGAATTTAATTGAAAATGATCAGTTAACACTTAAAGTGGCCTCAGAAAGTGTGTTTAGGATTATGAAAATAATGAAAGTTGTAACTTTTACTGGCACCTTACTGACCTTGACCACGTCCTCGTCTGTCGAGCGACATTTCACTGCTTCAGAGACATCAGTGACAGAGGCGTCTGTTGCAATGGTCACTACCTTTACTGGGACAGCGACCGTCTTTCCAGTCAGGACAGCCGTGTTCAGAATCTCAGTGTCCTAGAAAGGGAAAATACAATTTAAGGTCAACAAAAAAACTTACATGAACTGCTCTTCGAAAAGCGGTATAAAAAGAACAGAAACTGAATGCACTAATAATTATGTAAAACACAATATAAAAAAAAATTAGCTGATAAATTAATTTGTTAAATGTGTAATTTTAGAGTATTTTTTTTATTTCTATTCTATTCTATTAATGCAACATCAACTGTGCAAACCTAAACTTAATTTGAAGCTGTTGAATTATAATTATTAGAATTACTTTTTATCTCTAATTTTAATATTAGGTGCTCCTTCTGTCATAAAATGTGTCAGCTTGTGTGTTTCTAGTTTTTCCTGTAAAATATAGGAAGAGATTTGATGGAACAAGTGTAAAAAAAAAAAAAATCATTCTGCTCCATTTTGTCATGAGTTCAATATTTGTCTACAAGATCTTTTACCTAATTACTTAGTTAAATACCCTCCTTATCTCATTTCAGCTCTTTGGAGCTAATTTCAGCTCAGTCTTATGTGTATTTATTAACTTCTTTTAAAATATATAGTTAGGTAAATCATAGCATTTTGATTTATTTATGGCTGTTCTATACTACAATACAGGTTCCACTTTTATTTTTTTTACAAATACATATTTTTCTGGGGGGTTGGTTGGGGGCACAATTGCCCTACATGCTGTTATCTTCAACACTGTATATGATGCTCTTTTTATCCACTGCTTGTCATTGTTAGTTGCACTTTCTTTAATGGATCCTGCTTGTTGTTTCTGAAGAGGTTGAGGTTTTACTGTACTTAGCCATACAATAGCCTTTATCAATGCTGTTAAATGATTTTCTCAGCCCTGCGCTGTGGAGTGTAAGAGTTGAAAAAATTTATACAATTTTAAGGTATTTATTGTAACTGGTAATTCTATTTTTCAACTCAAAACCATGTGCAAGGTCAAATGCATGCAAATAATTTAGTATAAGTAATAGTAGACAGTAAAAAAAAAGGGCTAAATGTTGGAAACCGTAAATCATATCCCAGCCTTATGTTTATATTTGATCACTGCTGCACTTTAAAAACTGAACTTTTTCTTGAGAACTGTACTGAACAAAACTTCTTTTTGTATACACTCTGTGTGTACAAAATGACAAAGTCTCCCTAAGTCTAAAGGACTGGTTATACTCCCGCAGCAGTGTGTCGCAGTGAGCTTGTTGCAGGTATGATGCAGATATTTTTGATTTATGCCCAATATTGAAGCGTTGTCTGCGCTATGTTATTCCACGCCAAAACGCAAGAGGGACGATCAGGAACTAGCTGTGGCTGTGGGTCTAAATACGGCCGAGGTGGTGAGGAAGGGGGGACAAGTTTTATGCGACAACGGAGAAACATGAGGGCGAAAAAGGTCCAGGTGGAAAAAAGGTCCCAGCGTTTTCCCGCACCACGCTCTTCTAGCTGGTCCATCTTCACAAGTCGTTTTCCACAATGGTGGTCATACAAACAAAACAAGCCAATAAGGTAACAAACAGGAAATATGCATAGTGTAAAATGGATGTAGGTTTGACCATTTAGAGGCAGCCTGTCTGCGGCCACCTACAATTTCTGAGAGTTGTAGCAGAGTGTCTGAAGCAGACGACCTGGTTTCTGAGCATAAATCCACCTTCAGTCTAAGTGAGTAAAGTAGACAGAATGTCCTTTTATGCCCACTTACCTGGGTCATGGCAACCACAAAACAGACTTAAATCGCCGACAACCGGATTCTGCTCAGTTTTTTTAAACACCTTTCAACACCTATTTGATTAATGTTTTGTAGAAGGCCGGATGTTTGTTTCACTTTCCAGTTCAAATATACCAATCCATATAACTACATCATTATATAGTAGCAGACCAGGGAAATTGTGAAATGTCTTGGAGGAAGTGTGAAGGATCAGTGTTAATTGTGTACAGCTAAGAAAATATACGATTCTGTACTGTAATTTTCAACTAGTAGCCTTAACACCAAAAACAAGAGATGTTGACAAACTTATAAACCAAAATAACTGAAATGCTGGGAAAGGCTTTGGCAAAGTAATCATAAATATACCAGAACTACCTCCCCAGCAGTCTGGTTCTTATTATTTAGTGCCCAATTAGACCATATCCTTTTCTCACTAAGACCACCAAATCCTCCAATTTTCACCTCCACTGCAGAAGAAGTGCTTTTTGTAATTGAACTAATTGGTCTAGACAGCTTTGCTTCTCAAGTTCATTGCCACAACTCCGAACAGAAATCTTAACCTTTAATTACAGACACACAGTAACACGCAACACTTTTGTCGATGAAGATAACTGGGACCAATTAGATACGTACAAGGTAAGTTTTACTCTCTAAACTTACCAAAGCATAAAAGATGAACAACCTGCACTGAACTTATGCTGATATTAAACTCTGCAAATAGCTCCTTCTTTTGTCAATAACAGCCGTAATGGTTGGGCTGAACAACAAACAAGCCTGCTTTACTTTGTTGGACCCAAATTACTTCTTCTAATTTTTAAACCTGACAAAAGTCTCTTATTATGAGCTGCTCCCATTCTGCTATTGGTGCCATCTTACACAAAGGCTTCTCTCCCTCGATATCCTGTATTTCAATAGTCAGGAACCCCAAGGCACTTTTCTCCCCATCACCCCCATTGCATTAAAGATTTGTGGGATCCTCAGCTTTTTCTTCCTTCTCTTTTGAAAAAAAAAATCTATCTCTGGAGTAAAAGGATGTCTGCGGAATTAAATGTCACATTTGTTTAGAGTTTTCCAGCTAAACCTGATGAGCACCGACAGGACTGACTTCACATCCGCGTTCATGCGTATTCCCAAAATATATGAACACTCACTGTCAACTCAGTTTGTAAAGACTTGTATTCGTGAGCCTTAAAATGAGACTCATTCAAAAAAATAAAGAGAGAGAGAAAAAGGGGATTAGGTTTGATTGAAAGAAGTCTGGGCTTTGGGAGACTTTGCGACTTTACAGTGAAATTATTATTAGTGAAACCAACAGATACCAATGAATCACAAAAAACACTTAATCATCAAATAGCTTTTCATTCAGGTTTTATAGACTGTGACACTGGAATATAAACCTCCTCTCTGTCTGTGGCGCTGACTTTGATTCAATTTTCCTTAAAATTGAGGACTGCGGTAAATTAATTCTATGTCTGCTGGGATTCTTCCATTTTCTGGGGGTCATCTATAATATATAAGGGGGTAAATGGTTGGGACCCGGTAAAAGCGGAGGCTAATGTTAGATTACAGCAGCTGGAAATGACCCAGCAGGTTAGGAACAGCAGATAGCGGAGCCTGGCAGTAATAAGCCACTGCGGGATTCCATGGTGATGCATCAGTGGTCCACACACTTAAACACAAGCAGCGCAATTAAACACAAAATGGAAGCCAGTGGTGCACATCAGAAGCTTGAAGCAGTGTGAATAGAGACACAATGAAGTGGGGCCTTTTGAAAGTGGGAAAATTTGCCAAGTGCCTGATGAGGTTTAAATATGATCAACATTTGAAATGTGTCATTTTCCAAATGTAATTTTATATATATATATATATATATATATATAAAAAAAAAATCACCTGCTATTATGTTTAAAGCTCTTGAATTTTACACTTTTTAAAAACAGCTTTCTAAAGGAGTTGTATTCAACGCAATACTGCAGTAAGCAAGTTATTTTTCTCCCTTTTGACCAAAAACACTAGATCATACTGGATCTTAAATAATGGTCATATACTGTATGTATCTAAAAAAAAATTACAGGATAGAAAGAAACAAGTTTATGTAGTCAAGGAAAATCTGTTAAACCACTGTGTTTTATTTGATTCCTTCTTCTAAAGGTACATTACATGATGAAATATGGTAAAAAAGGCAAAAAAGGTGATTTGTAATTTTCTCCATGACAGAATATTATCCCCAGTTTTTAGTCCAAAATTATTAACACCCCTAACATATTTATATTGGAAGTACTTTTTAAACTTTACCAGTATGTCTCTACTAGCTGAAAAAAATTAGGAGTGACTAAGTTAGTATTGAGTTTTTCTAACTTCAAAGACTTGGAGCTCATTTCCAAAGATCAGATGAAATATACATAAAAAAAGACATGTTAAATGACAACAAGAAATATTTTTTTTCAACCTTAGATTCCTTTTACTTAATCGTTGTTCTTTTGTTTTTAAGGTAGGTGTTGGGATTAGAGAGTTTTTTTTTATTTATTATTTACTGTGCAGAGCACAAAGGCTGCCATTACTGCTAGTGTCTAAGTGAATTGGCCTCTAAGTATGGCTTACAGGTAATTGTTAAAGGGCTTTGGAGAGCAGTATCAGCCAATAAGGCATCCCATTGTCAAAATATGAATGTATGGGTTTCAAATCTTCTGACAGAATAAAAAAGAAATGATATAAATGCATTTTTTTATATTTTATTTTTATTGTTTTGTTTTTTCTTACCTTTAGACATTTCTTATCTATTTTGTCTTAAAATGTTCTTGTTTTTTTTTATTAAGTTGTAAAGGACTTTTTGCACCACATGAATTATTGAAATGTTCCATTGAAAAAAAAACTGATTGATTTGAGCATCTAAACATACGTGTCATGGTTTTGGTTCTGTTGTGCTTTACTTTGCTCCTTGTTTTCTAGTTTTATTGGTTTAACTCCTATTTGGTTGTAATTTCTAGATTTATGTTAGTTCTCATGTTTTCCTCTGTCCTCTGTTGCCCTCTTGTGTGTGTGTTCCTTTCCCCTTGGCTCCCTCGTTGTCTCCTCACACCTGCTCCTTATCAGCTCGTTAGCCCTCCCTTTGTCTTTGTCAGCTATTGATGCTCTCCCTCTGCTCTCACTTTTTGTTGGTTCCTTGTTGTTGCCGGTCCTGTCTTCGCTGTAGTCGTCTCCCCTCGTCTCTCCCTGGCTCCTTGTACGTGTTTTCCCTTGATGTCTCCATGGTTTTGGTCTGTTACATTTTTAGTTGGATTTTTGGACTACCTTTCTTTACC